ACGTGCTCTATGTGACTTTACACGTTTAATTGCATGCCTCTTGAATGTTTTATTTGTTTATTTACTTATTTCATTTATTTGTTTATTCGTTTTATCAGCTTTAGTTTTGTATATTCATTTTTAGTTCAATTTTGATCATTTGAAAAGCACTTGAACGCCAAAGTTGTAATAGTTAGGGTATTATTTATTTTTATTTTTCCCCTTTAGATTGTAGTAGGCCTCCCCAAGTGTAATAGTTAGGGGGTTTGTTTGCTTCATTTCGCTTTGTGTGTGATTTGCATGCGTACGTGCTACGTGTTACCGCTTTCGTAGGGCATTGCATCTAGATATCATGCTTATTTGCTATGTGTTTATGTGATTAATGCGTTTATTTGCTTTATTATGTTTTACATGATTTATTTGATTATAATGAATGCATGATGTCGCCACACTAGTCCAACGCTAGTTGTGGCCCCTCTCCCGTCACCACACTAGTCCAACGCTAGTTGTGGCTCTTTTTCTGATTTTCTCACTAGTCCAACGCTAGTGAGGACTCATAGGCATGGGCTAGTCCAACACTAGACCCTTAGGGACTATCCACACGTTAGATCATGATTGTGTGGTAAAATCACTTCATCTCATGCATATTTTTCACTTTTAGGGCTTTACCATGTTACATGACACTCTCCTTATACATATATGTCCCTTCTCCCAGGTTCACCTTATATATAGTCTTTATTCCATATTTCCCCTCATACGTATACTCCTTACCTCTTTGTACGAAAACATGACATTAGACTTGCATTCCCATTTAAGAATTAGAATTAGGGTAGTGCATTTGCTTGATTAGATAGGGAAAAACCCCCTTGGGTATGGGATATGGACGAGTTTGACATTCTAGCCTTAGCACGCTCGTATTCCCTCTATTAAAGGGAACATTGAGTCACGAACATTAGTCCCCCGTACTCGATATGATGCATTCCTTTAGGACATGTATATTTGTATAATTATGATTATTTGTATTTTCCTTTTCTTTTCTTAGAATCTTATATTTTTGCATTATTCGTGACCTCTCCAAAGAATCCGCATTGGGCATCACAATTAATGTGATTGGCATCAATTGAGCTTTGAAGAGAAATTTCGATCCCCCGACACCCTCCTAGGTCTAAGGTTTGCATCCATATAGTACATCCAAATGAGATAAATCTTTAGGTTAAAACAAGAAAATCTTTGACTAAATCGCGCAACTAGCCTTGGCTAGGTTGAAAGGGTGCCTTGGATTCTTATCTTTGCCTTCCCTTTCTTCAAATGTGACTCCCGAATCTTTTTTCTCTGATTTTTGTGGACTTGGAGTCGTTTAAAAAGGGTTTTTCTACTTTCTCCTTTGAAAAATTCATTTTTAGATAACTTGGTACACCTCAACTCAATACCAAGTCACGACTCCATTTTTCATTCAAAAAACCCTTTTTAAACTATATTTTGGGTCAAATCGTCGCATTTTCAAGTCCCATTTAGACCCATATTTTTCATTTTCTTTTAAATCAAAAAATCATTTTCCAATCAAAAATTGAATCAAAAGCCATTTTTTCTAAACTCGTCTTTTATTTATTCTTATTTCAAAAATGGGGCGCGACAGTGTGGTCTAGTTTTTTTGAATTTTGCAATTTTTCTCGCGCTAGCATCTGACTAGGGGTCGATTGTACTTGGATTGTAAATGTGACGCCCCCACTTCTCCCTAAGGCGAACCAAAGGGTATCTGCGGGATGCCTGCCCAACTCTCGCCAGGACTCGGTACAAAATCCAATCGAGCTTAATACAATATTAGCCATTATTGCGACATAAGGTTAGAAAATGCGGAAAGTTCGAACTTTAACAAAATATAACAATCATTCAATCCTTACATCGGGTTCTCAAAAGATACATCATTTCCCAAAATATACAACCACTAAGATGTCTAGTCAATTACATTGAAACGCTAATACAAAAGTGCATTCAAAAGGGGTTTCTCCGAGGTTCACTCCAGATCCTTTCCTGTTAAGGAAAAGAAATCTACAGGGTGAGCAAAACGCTCGTGAGGCCAAGAACACACATGCAGGCACGTTTTTCAAGTAACACTCCCAATTTAACAAGTAGAGCGATAATATTTCAATAAATGACAATTCAAGCTAGAAAAGTAACCAGAAACAATTCAAGAATATAGGAGCTCTCAGGAGATATTTTCCACTTGCACGATCACGAATCTCCACGAGTTGACACTCCGTCAATCGGGTAGGTTTAGTCCATAGAACTCCACTTATACTTTCCCCTTCTCACCTTACATACCACACCGGGCCTGCAATACATTTATAAGGCGATAGTTCACGAGTATGCCAAACAAAACCCCTCAATAGGTCAAGCTTATATTGCTCATGGTTCGCCAAGGAGCCCGACCAATTCCATGCCGGCTTGAGTTCAGGGTTAGCCAGTGAGATTTGGGTGTCCCCCACTTAACACTTAAGAGTCGAGGAGATTCACTCCCATCGACTTATGCAGCCATAGCATAAATAATCACTTAAACACTTCACTTAAATTCACTTAACAAGTCACTTCAATCAATTCAAGTATTTCATGTGACGAAATTCAAGTATAATCCACTTAAATGAAAACGAGCGCGATAAAGTACACACTCGACCCAACACTTCTAAAATATTCACTTATCAAAACAATTAACACATCTTCACACACTTGACACTCACCGAGTGATTCAAGTAGCAAGTACAAACGAGGGTTTAGGCGTCTCCCGTGAGATCCTCTTGAGGGTCCTCTTGAGTGCCTGACCATTTAATAATCAACTATCACTTATAAACCCCAATTATTAAGGAAGATTGCACACTTGTGCGATCTAAGATAAATTCACAAAAATGAGCCTTAATTATTCGTAAATCTAGTCTCAAAAGTGGGGTTTTAAAACACAAGCGAAATCTGATTTCCATCTTTGAAATCGAGTATAAAACGATCAAGTGATATCAAAGGAAAAGAGAGAGTTTGAAAAAAACTCCACTTCTTTTAAGTTATGAATTTTCAGATTTTTTACACTTACATTCCCAAGATTCCCAACGGAAGGCATTCAAAAATTGGCTCAAAGTCACTGTTTTAGGCTTGCGAGACAGTTTTGAGGTTGGTTTTTTGTCAATTTTGAAAATTCGGCAAAAATCACAGAATTTGAACTAGCCTCTGAAATTTGAAACTCAAATAGAGTTACAATCAAAGTTTAAAGAAAAACAAGCGGAACAAGAATTGGAATTCTGAGCACCAAGATATGGCAGTTCAAAGTTGCTGAAAAATGAGACCATTGGGTCAATTTTCCAGATTTAAATCGCTAACTTTGGAATGTTGGTTGAATATCGAAATGGACTCGGAATGGCACCAAGTTTGGTAGTATCATCCTACCTTATAAGGGCTATTTCTCTACCAAATTTCATAGGAAAATTCATTCGGGAAGTTGGTTAACAAAACCATCAAAGTTTCTAAATCTCCAAGGCAAAGCTGCCTTGCACCTCTAGTTTTCTTTTTCTCAAACCTTTTGCCAATAAAATGCCTAAAACATGTCTCATTTATGATAACCAGGTCTAATAAGGATCCAAGATACATTTGGTAGGTGATTTACGCCAAGAATTTCGAATAGAAAGTCTCAAATCAAGATTGGTTACAAATCTGTCCAACAAGAGGGTTTTCTCCCACAAAGTCAGTTTCGAAATCTGGTCATCAATCACTCAATTCAACTCAGAATTGAGCGTGGTTGGTGGCGTTGAAAACTAAATTCTTAGAGCTACAATTTCTTAGAAGAAACATTTTCCAAAATCTGTCCACAATTAGCTCATATTTGGGCACCAATTCGCTGCTCAAAACAGAGCTCCCAGTGTAGACGTGAAACAGGAGAGTCATGTTCAAATGATTGGTATGGACGACTCAGGTGGAAGTAGAACATGCATTTTATACCATTGGAAAACTGGGAATATCTAGTTTCCAGTGCCACAAACGTCACTCAATTTCGACATCTAGACAAAAGGTTATAGCCAAAACAAGAACACTGCCAGAGCAAATACGGAAAAAATTTCCAGTTTTGCTGATTTCCGAAAACACAACATTTGGCCAACCAAATCACGAAATTTTTTCATGAAACTTCATACACAACTTATATTACACATATACATCAGAAACAAGTCATTAGAAGCTAAAAAATGTGCACTAAAGTGCACGAAATTCACAGGGGCGAATCGGAAAAATTCTCCCTTCACTACAAGAAAATTGGTCTTCAGTGACAGGCTATTTTTGTCACAAAAAAATAAAAAGTTGTCACTGATGACTTTTATTGACAACTTTCTAATTGTCACAGGGTCGTCACTGAAGGCCCGTCGGTAAAAGTACATAGTGACGACAATAAAAGTCGTCAGTGAATGGGACTGTTTTGTGACAACATGTGTCGTCAGTAATTGTTGTAATTTTAGTGATGACATAGTATCTTGTCAATGATATACAAAGCAATGTTGTCACTAAAAGTGGTCCGTAATTGTCACTGGTATAGACTAATTAGTGACAACTTTTACAGCAGGTTGTTATTAATTAGTGACAACTTTTACAGCAGGTTGTCATTGGTATAGACTAATTAGTGACAACTTTTACAACACTTTTTAATTCTATGACAGCAGGTTGTTATTAATGGAAAATTCTGATTCAGTGATAACACTTTATCACCATGAAATTTGTCAGATTTTCCTACTACAATTATATCTATAAATGAAAAAAAATGACAATGCTTGACAATTAGCAAATGAACGCATCCATTGCATTACGAAATGCCAAAATATCATATCAAGCATTCAAATATCATAATGAAGTTCAACAACACCCTACAAATGGTTTGATAAGTGGTATTTGGCCTAAATTTCACATATAAGTCGAGGTAGCTTTACAAAACAAATCCAAGTCCCAAAAAAAATATGTGTTGTCATGACATTTCCTAAGTATAAGATTTTCTTTATCGTCCTTGAGTGAATTGGCAACTCCTGCTGCTGATCTTCCAAAAAGCTAAAATGAGCAACATATCTGCAGTGAAGTACTGCAATTATTAGTAGGTCATAAGAAAAACTTGAAACAATAAAGATAACTAAAGAATTTGCAAGAAAATAAGCTAAATCATTCCTTTTAAGTATAATCTAGACAATGACTAAATAAGGGTAAAGTAAGAGATAAACACTTAGAACATTAGAGCTCAAGAAACACTTCTTTTACTTTTACTACGTTATTAAGAACTCACAAAACAATTAATATGCTTATGCTACCATATTAAGAACCAAACAGTGTTCCTTCTATGGCTTCATAGGCTCCATTTGTATGGTTTATTCTATAGATTATGCATAGCAACTTCAACTTTTCAGGTATTGAAAATGCATATTGTTTATCGCTAGACCAAATTTTGATGACAAATAAAATTCGACATATCTAGAGATTCTTAGCGCCCATTGGTAATATTTTAATGATTTTAATAATAAAATGATGCATCTAATATTTTAGTGAAACTGTGTAAAAAATGGAAAAGATGCTCCATTATAAATCGAAGCTTCTGACTATGAGGCGAACCAGTACATTCACTAACCAACTTACTTTCAATTTTCAGAAGTTCTAATAGCAAATATCACATGCTAGTAGCTTAAATAGCATAAAAGTAAGTAGTTATCAAGAAAAGTTTGCATAAGATGTCATGAAATACTAGATTATGAAATTTCTTTTCTACTAGTTAGCTTAGAGACCACTTGTAGCTTGTTTATATGCAAATGTCTCCTAGAACAAAGTGACAATTGTCACTTTTACAGAAACTTTGTTGACAAGACCCAACCATTTGAAACAAGTCTAACATAGATAGAAAGGAGTATATACTTACCCAAAAAACATCACAATATTTGGAAATTCCATAGCAAGGACCAATAGCATCAGCATAATAAGCTGCAAGACAATAACAAACCAATGAAGTCGCTATGAAATGATACTGTGCATTATAAGCTCAAAGACAATGAATAAAATGGTAGCTGTAGTTCTCATAAGAAAATGTTTGCATATAAAACATATGTTTCCTTCTTTCAATTTTGATACTAATCTATACTTGTACCTAATAACGTAACAACTACACATTCCAAGAACACTACATAATCGTCAAAACTTACATATTCATTCAGGTAGTCCATCACCAAATATGAAAAAAAATGGTAGGAAAGAACTACTTATTCAAGATAAACTCTAGAATTTGGACAATGAAAATCAAGCTTGATGTATACCTTTGGCAAGGAAAATGCTGTCTCCAGCTTATACCATAATCTGAATATCATGATTTCCTCACAAAAACTAAAAACACCTGCTTGTAACATAGTTAGCTATACAAGGCAATTAAAAGTAGTATCACAAAGTCCATACTCCTTAACTAACCACAAAACTTGAGAAAATTACGACTCCCAATGCAAAAGATGTGCAATATATACAAATTTCCCATGCGGCTTTTGTATTATATTTGAATTATGCTCCACTTCAGCAACCAAAAGTTGTTCATAAGCAAGCCTCTAGAATTAGCATTACAGTCAGCCATGAACCTTTTATTGACTTCATTAGTTGCACATTGGGAGTTCAAATGTAACTTACCTAACTTTAAAAAAGGCAATATAACTTTTCTCTTGCAATTTAAAGAAATCAGAACTTCACTTCCAAAACTGAAGAACTATTAAAAAACATAAAAAATAATAAATTATTTCATTCATGTACCAAAACTTGATCTCTATTGGATGGAGTACTGAATAGACATAACGTTGGTGATGGTGTAGAAAATGGAGATGAGATTTTCTCTTGAAATTCCCATGACAATTTACCAAATTTCAACACAAAAAAAGAAAAGAGGGGAATTTTTTACATCAGAAAAAATTCCTCTAAACCTTGTGATTTCCCAATTCCCTCTCCACCCAACACCACTTAACCCACTATTTTTCTCACTTGCAACCACTCATAGACATATCTACATCATAATCACTTCTTAAATCTTTTCCACTCCTACCACTATAGCTAATTAGGATGTAAAGCATACAAGAATCCAACAGTTCACAAAGTTTCACTTTCAACTGGTCATGGTAAAGCGTTTTTTGGATATTTACCTAACTTAACGAATCACTAAATTTGCCAAGATGCGATTGGCCAGCTCTTGTTTCATTTTTTTTTTTTGTTTAAAACCGCATGAAGAAGAAGTGAACTCATATAATATTGTTTATAATTAGAAATTGGAAGAGTAGTAATTTTGTGTTAAAACTTAAAAAGGGTGTTTTAAATAAATGAAGGCTGCTTCAGGAGAGTACTTTAAAAGACAAAAATGAAAAAGAAAAACTGTTTGTAAATCCATTCATTTTCATCCCAGTAAACACAAAGCAGACACTAAAAGCAAATGACAGACATGAGTATAGGTTTCATTCCCATAGTCTATCACTATCCTGTTGTCGCATACAGACGTAAACATTAACATTGAGAGGTTTACATTAATGAATTTTCTACCGATCTTAAGGATCATATAATTCTTCAAAAACCCAAGTGCTGCTAACTGCTAACAAGTACCAACCCATTCAACAAACAAATGCCAAGCCGGACAGGAAGAATACAAAAGTGATTATACTACAATAAAATTATTCTCTTGCCATAATTTAAGGAATATTTACATTCCGAAAGTTTCCCTAGACCCAAATCTGATGAAGCTAGAGAACAAAGGAACCCTTAAATCTAGAGGGCGTGTGACCAGGAAATGGGTATTCTTTATGGGTTTGAGTGAGAGGGTATTAAGGGGGTGCCAGTAATGAGATGTCTGGTCTGTACTGCTAAAATCTTTGTCGGGGGCTCCCTGTTTTATCCTACGCACACCCTTGTAATTCCCCCCTTCATTTTATTCCCATCTTCTTGTCCCCGTTTTCCATCCCATTCCAAGAAACAAACCCCTTTACATCATAATCACCTTCGTCCCCAAACTCAACCTCAAACCCGTATCCACCACCAACCCCACTGAAACCTTTATCTTGTACAATAAAAAAGAATGAAGTAATGGTATTCACAACTAAAATAATTCTAGTGGAGATGATTTCACCCGTAACTCAAAATTATCCAAAAAAATTGGGCACAAATTTTTGGCAAAAAAATAATTAGGGCAAAACAAAAATTGGGGAAAAATCGGGGAGAAGAAGGAGAGACATGAGATACCTTTTCTTGCAAAGAGTTGGTGGAGTACTTCTTCTGTTCAACATCACAAAGACATGATCGATCTATGGAGAGGAGAAAGGAGAATTGTTTTTTGTTAATAGTTTCTGTTGAGAGTGTAAAGTGAGAGAGGGGAGACCAACGGAGAGTAAAGCAGAGAGCTTTTCTATTGGGTTACAAAATGTTTGTTTTTCACATTTGACCCACACCATATATTTTTCACATACTTTGTTTATTTAGTTTCAGTGAAATATCGGTTCACTGAGTTCCTCAAAATTTCAATCAAGTTTTTTTAGTTGAAGTATAATTTTACTAATACATTATTAATTGCTACCTTTTAACATTTTTGTCAAAAAATTTCATAATGGGAGTCAAGTTTTTGTTAAATTAATACAAGTGGTAAATGTACTTTTGTTCAACATCAAATAGTTCAATTTTTTTGGTAATAACTTCAAATATTTTTTTGTTGAATAACTTCAAATAATTCATACAGGTGTTAAAACTTTATATCACTTCCTCAAAATTGCAAAACTAAATTATTATATCTTAAATCTCTTTCATTCTTTTAATTTAGTCTAGTAGTACCATAGGTCTTTAGTTATGGAAAATTCTACTTTAAATAACATATGACTTATATGACCCGCATAAACTAAAAGATGGTTCACCCCTAATTTTTAGGAGTTCCCATATATTTGTGTCTATTGGTTTGTATATAGTGTTTTTTAAAGTCAGTTATTGTAAATGAACTCTTTAGTTATTTTATACTGATAAGCCATGTATGTTATCGGTTGATTTTGTTTGAAGTTATTGTACTACTAATTTGCAAAACAAACCTAGGTTGCCATTAATTTTTAGTAGATTTTAAATAGAGCATATTCAATTAACAAAGCACATTTTAAATAGCGGCCATTCAATTAACATCCAATACAAAACTTCACTATTAATCCATTATCTTCAAATAAGAAAAAAAAATGCACAATTAAACTAATACATAATGTGTACTAGTTAATTAACTATGGAGTTTAGGATTTATCCACTTCGATAACTAGTTCCATTTGAAAACTCTTATTTATATTCATATCATATTAACTAATAATCATTCTAAGTTAAGTAGTCACAAGTTTATTTACACTAATGAATTTTTTATTTTTTAATTATTTTTATTCTAATGAAGTTATTACATATACAAGAAAATTAAACTAATAAGGAGGCTCATAAGTATATAACAATCAAAAATCATTAGAGAACACATAATAATTACAAAAAATTAGGAGTAATAGTTGTAAAAAGTAATAAATATTTTAAATCAAACAGTGACAAGACTAGGTTGTCACTAAAGGCTATACAATGTTATCAGTGACAACAATTGCAAAGTTGTCAAAGAAAGTGCTATTAATACTGACAACTTTTAGAAAGTCGTCACTATTGCAGTTCCCGCTCTCTCCATGACTCTTTGTAAGTCCCAAAGACAACCAAGAGGGGGGGGTGAATTGGGTTGATTAAAATCTTAACCAAATTTAGGCACTTTTTCTTTAATAAAAATTTACCAAGTAGATTAGAAGACAATAGCAATATTGATCAGAAAAACAAGTTTATATAAGCAATGAGAATTTTATTAAACAAAAAGTAAAATAGGAAATCAAACCAATTGTCTACCAAGCTTTCCTCAAACTTGAAGACCAATCATAAGGTTGACCAACTTCTCTTTGATGGAATATGATCAACTAGATGTACAATGGAGGGAGCACTTCCTCCTTGCCCTAAGCCTCACTTAGTCAAGCTAAGAAGTTTTACAAACACTCAGATTACCCTCAACAAAGCTACACTAATGAAACTTTCAACCACAAGAGAAAAGCTCACCAGAAGTTCACACCACTTCGAGAACAAATCTTACTTTGGAGACTATTTTCTAGCTAAAATATCTCTTGAGATCTTGTAGACCAAGTGTGCAAAAGTTCTTACTTCGTTCAGAACAGTTTGTATTTGAAGGGGAACATAAATGGGCTTCATTAAAGCTTCCAATGGATAGAAGGCAGATGAAGAGTCAGCTAGCCGTTGGGGCTTTCGGACGTCCGACGATCAAGTTATCGTCCGAACCAATCGTCCGAAAAATAGCCAAATTGAAGTTCGGACGTCCGATGGAATTTTATCGTCCGAGCTTCAGTGTCCGAACGTCGTCCAGAGAGTTATCAAATCTTCGAGGAATTTTTAGGACGTCCGATGATATTGATGTTCGTCCGAAGCACGCGTCCGATCCTTCAGGACGTCCGATGCTTCCTTGCGAGCGTCCGACAGTGTCTTGGCAGAGAGTCATCAAAGCTTTGTGGAATTTTTAGGACGTCCGACACGATCGATGTGCGTCCGACAGAAACTCCTTCCTGATGTTCTTCATCCCTTCGGACGTCCGACAGATTCCTTTCGGCCGTCCGACATGAGTGTCCTGTTTTTGCTCACGACATATTCGTACCTGATTCTTTGATAGACAACAACACTTATATTTGAAGAAAGTTAGATAAAACATTTCAAGGAACCAAGACCAACAAAATTGTCATACTTAAAAGACAGTATCTTTGATCGGAACAAAACAATGAATAAATTCGTTTATATTATTCCAATCTTGTTTGCCACATCCAAAGCATCGTAGTCTGGAGTTAATCGAACCTATGCTTACTTTGTTCCATCAGGCCTGATCAAAGTGTTCACTTTCTTGGTCTGTGTAAACATTTCAACGAACTTTTGTGATCATCAAAACCAAGAATAACATTCTCCCCCTTTTTGATGATGACAAAACAAAAGTTTGAAATGAAATTTGATGATTGCAGTATAAGCTCCCCCTTTCTCACGAACTCCCCCTTATTTAGTGAATCATAAAATTTTGAAAATTTTGAAAAAACTCCCCCTCACTTGGCTGCCCATCCGAGTTAAACAATTTTCCAAAAATATGACAATTAAGCATATCAGCAATCCAACACATCCAACATCACCAATCATCAATCATTAATCAACACCAATCATCAATCATCAATCAATCCAGTCTTCTCCCCCTTTTTGTCATCACAAACGGGCAACCAATCACATCAACACATCCACAAACACATTCATCAATGAAAGCCAAATTCATTGCACCAAAATACTTAAAACATCCATAAACATAGTCATCATTCAAAATACTTAACATAAACATACAGTACCAACAAGAAAAAAACATTAAAAGAAGGTTACAAATGTTGACCATTACAAACACATAAAATAGACAAACTGAATGCAAATGTCCTAAGTAGTGAACTATGTGGATCCAGGTGTTCTTCGAGAGAGCTGATATTGAGAGAGGTCTTCCGCATCAGTTTCTTCATCATCTTCAGCAGCTTCTTCAATTGGTGCCTTGCCTTTGTCTGATGTGGAAGGGCCATGAGGAGTCACAGGAGTTGATGAATTCGGATCTGGAAGTGATGAACCTGGATCAGTGGTTCGAGGTTCTTTGTCATGTGAGACTTCCTCAACCACAGGTGGAGGAAAAAGAAGGTTCTTTTTGTCTAGAAAGGCAGTTTGTTGCTCAGAGGACATGGTGAGCATTAAGCCATGTTCCAGAAGAAGAACATGCTGTTTGAGTTCATGAAGAAGCTCAATCACTCCATCATTGGAGGAGGAAGATGCCTTAGTGGCAGATTTCCTAGGATGAATGGGAGTGAGTGGAATAGATGAAGGATCATGTGCAGCTTTAGACCTACGTTCACTGGACGATGCCTCCTTATAAGACCACATACTATCTTTAAAAACAAGATTTTTCCTTTCAAAGTATCCTTTAGTAAAGGCATAAGAAGATGCTTCTTTGGGACAAACACCTAAAATTGGAACTTTGAAAAACTCAAAAATCTTTTGAAGAAACTTTCCATAGGATAGTTTTCTGCGAGAGTCAGTGGTATAGCGAAGTAAAAACTTGCACATGACAAAACCAAAATCAATCCGAATTTTTTCTCGAAAACAATAAAAGAGGTACAACTCCATTTTGTTTGCATCAGTTCTATGGCCATCAGTAGGCACAAGCAGGTTTGAAATGATAGAAAAAGCAATTAAATTCACAGGGGCAAGATCATTCAGTTTAGCATCAGCAGGGGAGGAAAAACTTCTTTTAAAATAGGTCAACATTTTAGCCCCATCAAAATGATTATCAGCATTAGGGTGCTCTTCATAGGAAAAGAAATTTGCAATTTTATCCTTGCACCCACGTTCAATGGTAGTATTTAAAATGGAATTCACAATTTCAGAGTAAAAGATTAAGTTTACCCCATTAACCCTGGAAAAGATTTCAGTTTGGTCAGAGCCTTTCCTAAGATTAGCAAAAAATTGATGCAGCATTTCAGGATAGTAAACATTTGGCATAGAAATGATATGCGACCATTTCTGAAAAGCAAACAACTTCAGAATGGTTTCTAAACCTATGAGACGAAATTCAGAAGGGTTTACAGTACGTTGAGGGATGACACCTTTCTGGGATATCAAGGAGTGTTTGTCTCTTGCTGTATCATCAAAGAATGTAGGGAGTGGGGCTGATTTTGGAGGCGGTTGAGCAGAGGTTCCCTGTCCAGATTCAGGCTGAGAGGTGGGTTGTGGAGTAGGCCGTGACATTTGACCCTTTATGGCTCCTCTCTTGAAGCGTTTGGATGAACGTTTGACCGTAGGAAGATCCTCATCCTCATCCCTGAGTGGATGCTTGCGTCCGGCAGTAACCTTTCCTCCTCTCAGATTCACCATTGTGTGAAATGTGTGGAATGAAGAATGCAAATGATGCACACAGTGGTAGGGAAGTGATTTGCACAGAAATTTTGGGACAAAAAGGCCTTAAACAAGATTTGGCAGAGCGGTTATGAGAAAGTAGGGTTTTGAAGGAAATTTGGGAATTTGTGAAATGTTATGCGATTCGGGGAAATGATCAGGAGAAATGAATCGCAATCAGTCAGAAAAAGTTTTGTTTGAGTCAATTTGAGAATGAGAGCTTCAAAATGGTACGAATTTGAGAGTGAGGGAAGAGAGAGTTTTCGTCCGAGAGGAAATAGAATAGGAAGAGTCTGAAGCAAATGAGAAAGAAGGTTATTTAAAAAATT